TAAAATTTGCATAACTTAAAATGCTGTTAGAATTCAAATAGGTTCTTTAACATATTGGCAATAAATATTTGGGTCCTGGAGATGATGTAGTAAGTCTTTTGGTTATAAACTGAGGAGTGGGATAGCTGGGTCAAATGGTGGTTCTATTCCAAGTTTTCTGAGGTATCACTATACTGCTTTCCATACTGATTGCACCAATTTGCAGTCCCACAAGCAGTGGATGAGTGTACCTTTATCCCCACATCCTCACCAACACTTACTGTTGTTTGTATTCTTGATAATTGCCATTCTGACTGACTGAAAGTAATTCTTAGAGTACTTTTAATTTGCATTTCTCTAATTGCTACAGATGATGAGCATTTTTTCAATATTTTTTGATTGATTGTATTTCTTCTTCTGTGGAGTATCTGTTCCATTCCTTTTATTCATTGGGTTATTTGTTTTTTTAGTGTTAAGTTTCTTGAGTTCTTTATGTATTCTGGAGATTAGTGCTGTATCTGAGATGTGTGTGGTAAAGATTTGTTCCCATTCTGTAGACTCTCCCATCATGTTATTGATTGTTTTCTTTGCTGAAAAGAAGCTTTTTAGTTTAAATCTATCCCATTTATTGATTATTGATTTTACTTCTTGTGCTTTAGAAATCTTGTTAAGGGAATCAGGTCCTAAGCCAACATGATGAAGATTTGGGCCTACTTTTTCTTCTATGAAGTGCTGGGTCTCTGTTCTAGTGTCTTTGATCCACATTGAGTTGAKTTTTATGCATGATGAGAAACAGAGGTTTAATTCATTTTGCTACATATGAATTTCCAGTTTACCCMGAACCATTTGTTGCATAGGCTATCTTTTCTAAACTGTATGTTTTTGGTGCCATAGTCTATTATGTGACAACCATATTCATGGGACTTTGTCTTTGTGTCATTTGTCTACATGTCTAGTTTGTACCAACACCATGCCATTGTTGTTGTTGTGTCTCTGTAGCATAGTTTAAGGTCTGGTATTGTCATGCCTCCTGCTTCACGTTTATTTGAGATGATTGCTTTGTCTGTTCTGGGTCTCTTATTTTTAGAAATAAAGTTCATGATTACTTTTTCTAGTTCTGTGAGGAAGGTCATTGGGATTTTAATAGGAATTGCATGAAATGTGCATAACAGATTTAGTAGTATGGCCATTTTGMTGATATTAATTCTGCCTATCTAAGAGTGGGAGATATTTTCATCTTCTAAGATCTTCAAATTCTTTATCTTTCTGTAGATTTTATTGTAGAGGTCTTTCACCTCTTTTCTTAGATTGATTCCTAAATATCTTCTTGTTCTTATTATTTTTGCTACTCAGAATGGGGCAATTTTCCTAATTTCTCTTGAAGTGGATTCATGGCTTATGTATTGAAGTGCATTTGATTTATGGGTATTGATTTTATATCTTGATACTTTGTTGAATTCATTTATGAGTTCTCAAAGCATTCTGGTGGAATTTCTTGGACCTCCTAAGTATAGAATTATTCCATTTGTAAACAGTGGCAGTTTGAGTTCTTTGCCTGTTTRTATCCCTTTAATTTCTTCCAACTCTCTGATTACTTTGGCTAGAGTTTCAAGGACTATGTTGGCTAGAAGTGGTACGAACTGGCATCCCTGTCTTGTTTCAGTTTCTAGAGGCAATAATTTCAATGTTTCTATGTTTAGATTATGTTGGCCTTTGGCTTAGCATAGATAGCTTTTACGATGTTGAGGTTTGTTCTTACTTTACTAGATTTCTTAGTGTTTTGAACATGAAGAGGTGCTCTATTTTGTCAAATGCTTTCTCTTTCTCTGCCTCTATTGAGATGATAATGTGATTCTTGTTTTTAACTCTWTTGATGTGATGTGTTACATTTATTGATTTTCATACATTCAGTCAACCTTGGATTCCTAAGATGAACAGCACTTGATTGTGATGTACTATCTTTTTCTATGCAATTTGCYAGAATTTTATTGAGAACTTTTGTGTCTATGTTTATCAGGGATATTGGTGTGGTGTTTTGTTTTCTTAATGTGTCTTTGTCTGGTTTTGATATCAGGGTGATACTAGTTTTATAGAATGAGTTTGGAAGGGTTTTTTCCTTTTCCATTTGATGAAGTTATTTGAGAAGTATTAATATTGATTTTTCTCTGAATGTCTTGTAGAACTCTGCTGAGAATTCGTCTGGTTTTTCTTGGAAGGCTTTTTGATGGTGTCTTTTTGATGGTGTCTTCTATTTAATTGCTAAAAATTGATCGGTTTAAGGTGTGTATGTCCTAATGTTGTTTAGGCAGCTCATTTGTCTCTAAAAATTTGTTAGTGTCATCAAGGTTTTCTATTTTATTAAATATATATATATATATATATATAATAAAATAGAAAAAATATAAATATATATATATATGCTTTCTAATTATCTTCTCCATTTCAATAGTATCTGCCATGATATTTTCTTTTTCATTATAAATTTTAGTAACTTGAGTTTTCTTTCTTCTTCTTTTCATTAGGGTGGTGAAGCATTTATCAATTTTAATTATTTTTTCAGAGAACCAGCTTTTCGTTTTGTCAATTTTTTCAATTGTKTCTTTTGTTTCAATTTCATTGATTTCAGCCCTGATTTTAATTATTTCCTGATTTTTACTACTTTGGTGTTGATATTTTTCCCCTAGGGCTTTGAGATATAATGTCAGGTGGTTTATTTATTGATTTTTAAAAATTATTTCAATAAATGAGCTCAATGCAATAAATTTAGTACCGCCCAATTACTTGTTTTTAATGTTCCAGAAACCTCAATTACGTGAATTATCTTGCTGAATTCATGTCAAAACTTGTCAGGTATCTAGAAGAATGGAATTCTCATTTTATTTTTTATTTGGTAAAATTGAGATGGACATATTTTTTGGCACCAGGAATTAACTCAGTGATGCTTAATCACTGAGTTAATTTCCAACTAGTATTTATTTTTTGTTCCCAGGCAGTATTTATGTTTTATTTAGACAAAGATTTTGGAAAAGTTTTTAGGGACTTGCTGAGGCTGGCTTTGAACTCTCAAAGCTCCTACTTCAGCACCTGGCTCTGAGATGGACTTTTTAAAAAGCCATATCAGATCTTTTTCTGCTCAGCCTGAGTGTAGTTGACATTGGAGTGAATATTCCTCAGTATTTAAGGAAATACTGGCTGTAGTTCAGGGAGATAAATTGTTACTCATGTGTGAGTTGAGATTGAGTCAATTTCCTTGGGTATGTAAGGTACTGGTGTAGTCCATAAAGTTTTTTTGTTGACTGATATCTATAAATAGATTGAAAATCATAAAAATGGGTTTATTGGACCTACTCGAAAGAAAATGTGAAAAAGAAGCTCAAGTGTTCAATCCCAATGGTGGACAATGGCATGAAAACATCACATAAAAGTGAGGTGTTCACTGATGATGTTGTAAAATTTGGTGTCAAGGTGAGCAGGCACACACAGTAGTTACAATCAGCCTTTATTCAGTAGTGCACAAGTGTCTTCCACTGGTTCCTTTTGGGTGAGTTTTATGGGGTACACAGTCTTCTTGAACATTGCCTAGGTTTTACCATCTCTATTGCATTATTTCAAGAAATGTGCCTTTACTTTTTCCCACCTCTATTGTTGTCTTGTGGAGGGAAGAATAAGTGTCACCTTACTCCTGGTTCCCTGTCAGGGAATCAAAATGTAAAAACAAATAACTGAGACAGGAGCAGACCTCATTGGATTAAACAATATAATTTATGAAGCCATAGAATCTATCAATGGCACATCAGAAGGCCTCATTTTTAGGACAGAAATTGTCTGTTCATTACAAAAGGGGTCTGTGTTTTATAGTTTTAATGAGGGTGACTTAAGCAGAACACGTAAGATTGTGGAGTCAGGAGAGAATTTGTAAAATGTTGGAACACTTTGTTACTGGGAATGGATAAAAGCCCAGATTCTGAGCTGGGGTTGTGGCTCAGTGGTGGAGCACCCGCCTAGCATGTGTGAGGCACTGGGTTTGATCCTCAGCACTACATAAAGTAAAATAAAGACATTGTGTCACCTATAACTAAAAAGAAAGAAATACTTTATAAAAAAAGTGGTTAAATGGCCCTGGTTTCAATCCCTGGTATAAAAAAATGATCAGTGCACCACTGACTGCAGAGCTAAATTTATTTTTCATTTGGTATTGGGTATTAAACCCAGGGTGTTTTCCACAATTCTTTTTATTTTTTAAATTTTGAAAATTTTTTTAGTTATCAGTAGACTTTATTTATTTCTATGCGGTATTGAGACTTCAACCCAGTGCCTCTCACATGCTAGGCAAGTCCTCCACCACTGAGCCTCAACCCCAGCCCCTATTTTTATTGCAAGACAGGGTCTTGCTAAATTGCTGAGGCTGGGCTCTACTGAATGATCCTCCTGCCTCAATGTCCCAAATTTGTGGGGTTACAGGTGTGTGCCACATAACCTAGCTCAGAATTATTTTTCAGGGGGCTGGGGTTGTGGCTTAGTGGTAGAGTGCTCACCTCACATGTKCAAGGCCCTGGGTGCGATTCACAAMATGACATAAAAATAAACAAATAAAATAAAGATATTGTGTTCACTACCACTAAAATATAAATATATTTTAAGAAATTATTCTTTGGAGTAAGTGCAATTTAATGAGTGCAATTTTAAGCAAATAAAGGAAGCAGGTACCTCTAAGAGATCTCTACGTAGTGAATTTTTTAAAAATGTAAGGCAGGAAGAAAGAAAATATTTCCAGATTGAAGGTCTGAGATGAAAAATAARTGGAATAAGTGGTAGAGATTCATAAACATGCAGATGAAGACCCCGATGCCAATATAGGGCAAAATTGTTCACAGAGTTTCTGCTTCATCCCAGTTCATTTTGGGATGAAAGAAAGTTTGGAATTTTACCTTAATCAATATGTCAGAGAGGAAGTTTTTTAAAATAAAGAAAATTGTTCTAATTAGAGTGTAAAGTGCTCTAGACAAGTTTTTTTTCAGAAGCTAACATTTCTTCCCACATGTAAGTTGAATAATTTTCATTATTTGAGTGTCAGCTGTGATTAGCACCAAAGGACTGACTGTGCCATAGCCATTGGCCACAAGCATCTGGACACACACCAGGATGGCATTATTAGTCCATGTCAAGCCTATGGCCATTGAAATGAGGGAGTCTGYRCAGTACAGGATGGCAAAGCAGCAGATCAGCAGCAGGATGCTCTGAGTGGCCCTTTGTTCTGGAGAGGATTTTGGAGGGAACCTGGAATTGCGAAGATGCTGGGACCGCTGTGTGTGTCTGTACAAGAGAAGGACCATGTACCCACTGGAAAGAACCATGAGGCCCACAAAGAAGACATCCCTGCATGCCATCAAGGTGAGAAAGAATGACTTGTGGATGTGGCTCATGGGCAGAAAGGAGCAGCGAAGCGGTCAGTGACAAACAGAAGATCAGGCTGGGTCTTATTGGGAGTGGCCACAGTGCAGAGGAGCAGGTTGCTGGAGAGGGACATGGTGAGGACCCATAAGAAGACAAATAGCCCCACAATGGGATTTGTGGATTTCAGCTTGAAGTGGGCCAACCAGGAGCCACTGGGGCTGATGGTGATGGCCTGAAGCACACTCAGGACACAGGTGGTGCAGATGGACAACCTCCTCATGACCCTGTTTAGGAAGACAAGCACTTTGCATTTGAAGTTGCCTAGAATGTCCTGTGTTTCCCAAATGTCTGTAGACACCAAAAGGCCCATGGTGAGGAGCATGAGGATGTGTATTAGAGCCAGGTGGGTGATGGGGAGGTCGGTGAGCCTGGGCTTGTGGCCCACAAAGACAGCAGCAGTGTGGAGGTAAAGCAGAAAGGTGTTTGCTGAGATCCCAATGCCAGCCTGGGGATAGAAGGCATGTCTTATGGCAACATAACTGAAAAGTTGATCCATGGGCATGTTGAAGCAAGTGTTTCTGAAAGAAAATACAGGACTGCATGTGACACGAACAGCATTTTCATTGGCATGCTTCCAATCATCAATCACACTTTGCTTTCTCTAGAGTCATCATTTATCCAAATAATTCTATGTAAAGAGGACTGGCTCTGATACCTCATTTTAACTGTACTTTGGTTTATGTCATTAATTGCATTATTTAATGGGTAACTTTTGTTTACATTCCTGTTTTTCCTGCATATTTCTGAAGGGTGGAGATGCCTCTTTATTTACCCTTAGATCTCGAAGATCCAAAATCTTGCTGCTTAGTTGGACATTGTTCAACAAAGACTGTTGATGTAAGTCCTGGAGAAGTGGAAATAGGAATCTTGTAGGAAAAGTGTCTGAAGAGGCCTGTTCTCATGGTTTATTTATGGAAGTGCAGAACCCTGAGGAATTTAGTAGCATGTATCCGGGACCCAGCAGCCTGTGATTAACCAAGATCCACCACTTACCAACTGGGTGAGCATTGTCAATCAGTTAACCTCATGAATTAAAGTGGATAAGGGCAGTATTTTTCTCATAGCATTATTTGAGTAAGCAAAATAATATATGAAAAGCATTTAGAAAATGCTTGATGTGCATGAAGCACTATAATAGTGTTAATTATAGGTTCATTATTTATCACCACCTAATTTTGGCTTGGGAGGGCTCATGTAGCACATTAAAGATTTCATAGCTGAGAGAATCTAAGCCTACCATTCCATTGGCTTCCTCTGGCAAACTTGGATCCTTGGTTACTGGAGGCATTCTGGGCTTTAATTTTTTCCCCATTTTCCCCAGGACATAACATCAGAGATTTCTGCAACCACAATCCATTGCATGGGGAGAGCTAGTAGACCTCGTTCTCACTTATCAGTAACAAAATGCCATTTTTTTATGATTTCATTTTTTTTTCCTCAGACCTGTGTATTAGAAGATAAAAGAGATCCTCTGTCAGGGTGAGCTGGAGTATCCTTTACTTAAAATGTTTTTTACAAGGTATTCAGTCATACCCTGAAAGAYGTTCAGCTGCTCCAAAAAGAAACTGAGTTTCTCAAGTCTTCTTAGCTAATTTTTCATGTGTATCTGGAATTCTGTAGGAACATGGGTGAAAATCACATAGGATGATAAGATCATGACTTAAATTCTGGCATTTTATGCAATTTCTTTAATATCAGTAATTCACTAAGAGTTTTTGATAATACTGTGAAAGTAGTAATAACTACTCAATTTCCATATTGTTAATAAGAATAATGGAATAATGATTTTAGTAATCAAAATTTTTCCAATTGTATCAAAATAAATTTTGGATGGCAGTGTTATTGAGAATCCAGAATCTTGACACAAAGCTCCTGAAATCAAGACAACAATCTTAGAAAGACATACAGAGAAATGCAAGGGACTCAATCAAGGGAATCCACTTTGACAGAGGGAATGTATGAATATCATGTGCTGCATGAAACTCATGAGAYACTTTTGATTTAAAACCTGGATCCTGTGAAAAGTAGAGACAATATTTTTTTTTGCTGCTGTAATATCTCCTATCCTAGGGTGTTTGTGTGATTTATGAAGTAAAACTGAAAACAATATTGTAGGTTTAGGAAATGGTAAAATAGGAGGAGTTCTGTCATAAACAGAAGACTGAAGTTAGCTGGAAACCCAAATGTTAGGACTAGATGTATTTTGTAGAAAAGAACATTGTTTTGGAGACTTTATTACACCAAGTGATCAGTCCTCCTGTCTCTCATCAGAAGAGTACAGGTCACACACCTACATAATCAATGTAATGCAGCATTGATTTCAAAGGAAATCAAGTATTTCAAACTAGACTCTAGACATTGGTTTTGAGACCTTTCAAATTTGACCTATTACACTGCAACTTGCACTTCCGTCACTAAGGAGGAAAAAGGATGGTCCCAATGAATAAATTTAAGGACACTGAAGTCTTCCATATTAATTGATGTTTTTATGATGCCAGAATATTCTTTTACCTAAGATGCCTCTACCAGCACATTTACTAAGGCCCCATGAGACACCTATGCTCTCAGAAAGAGGCTCCCAAACCTTTGAGTATTTTTCAGAAAATCTATCCACTTCCCTAGCTGTATGATTCTTTTACCAATAGGTGGATTCACATATTTTGGACCCAGGATGGGAAACATCTTTTTTATGATGATCCAGTTACCATTTTCCTCTCTACAAGTCACTAGTTTCTTTAGGAGAGGGTTAACTTCCCTACACAAAATGTCAAGTTGTGATCATTCAGTGATGGTAATCATACTGAGCTCAGGAAATATTTTTGTGAAGAAAGTTTTCAATTGCAAGCATCACCATTTGAAATTTGGAAGGTAGGAGTAGCAAAAATTTCTTTAGAAGATGATATATTATTTTTTTTAATTTTAAATTTAAATTTAAATTTTTATGCCATTATACATGAGCTCTCAGAAGATAATATATTCATGATGAAAAGATCAAATACTTTTTTAGATTGTTATAAATTCATCTTATTTTTATATAATAATTCAATGAATATTAGAACAATTGGATGACTAGATATGGAAAATTCTGGTGTTAAACTCTGTATCCTCCATTAATGATTGTGCATTAGTAAAGGACAAGTCAAAAGCTGGGAAAAGGTGTGTACATTCCAGATATATGTCAGATATCAAGGAACAACAACTTCTCACATAAGGAGAAATAAACTCTTGCCAGATAAATAGGCCTTTGATTGTGTACATCATAATTTCTATGTCAAGTCCTGAAAACAATATTTTATTACATTAAAAATTTAAGTTTAGTATTTTTCTGTCCTTTTGCATCCCTGGGATATGTCATAATGCATGCTTAATACACACATAACTATAGAAGAAAGTCTATGTGTGGTAAATATGAAAATAAGAACATTTAGACGTAGTAAAGCCAGCAACATTTTGAAACAAAGCAATATCAAATTTTTTCATGTTAACACATGGTACACATGTTTGAAGTGACTACTAAAAATAAAACATTGTGTTGAATTTTTTGTAGGTTTATCTTTGATCTTATGAATTACCAAAGCAGCACTTGAAACGTTTTATTCTTTGGAAATTATGGTGAAATTAAAAATTAGAAGGCTTTGGAATTATTATCACTTGTGAGTATTTATAGTGTAAAAATTACTCATAAGATAGTAAAACTTGTAATACTATGAATTATAATAACATGAATTACAATTGTGAAATTTTAAGCAAATAATAATGCTACAAAGGCTGAAAGAAGTGCAGTAGCATATTAGGAACAAATACCTGTGTCCTGGACATGAAGTAGTAGAAATCAGACTTCAAAATGCCTTCCCCAGCACCTCTCCAGATGCCTCTTCAGCTTCGTCTTCCACTCAGATTTGGAGCTGAGGCCTCCAAGGTGATGTTATATGGCACAGACAGCCTTAGCTCATCTCTCAGTGGACTGCTAATCTTGGTGTTGCATCTGAAGAGTGACAGCACCTGTCTTCCATTAGGCAGAGAGGGATCCCCAAAGCAAAGACAAATACTTCTTTCATCCTCAGACAGTGGTAAACAAGCCCCATCTGGATGAAAACTTTTTCTGTGTAGCTCTCAATTTCCAAGGTCAGAGGAGACTGTTTTTTTTTTTTTTTCTGGGTTCCAATCATAATGAACAAATCAAATTTCCCTCACATTGGCCCCAAACAGGTATGCCCTGGCATAAAATAAACTGAAGTACAAAAACCAATGTTATATGTGAATAGAAACACATTTATTAACATTTATTTATAAACAACATATTTATAACATATATAAATAATACACATATTTCTTGGGTCTGTCTACTGAAAACATCTCAGAATCCTGACAGCCCAATATAAATGACCATTTCTTAGGTTAAGCTTTGATTTCTAAGTGGTTATGAGCAGAAATTATGGACACCGAACAGAGACCTCCTGCTGCAAAGGAAAGAGGGGAGGAAGGGAAGGAGTGTGGGAGATTAGAACTAAAGATCCAATGACCTGAGGAAGGAAGGGGGAGTTCAGAGACTAATGGCAATGCCTCAAATGGGTAGAGAGACAAGCACAAGTCTCCTCTTCATTATGTCATTCATTACTCCATTCAATATCTGTGGGTTCTTAACTAGCCCACCTTGTTAGTGCACTGCAACATCTCCCTCACCTAAGATTTATGTGAATTTGTGGCTGGTCTGTTTTCACTATTAAAGACAATTTTATCACAGAACCTGCATGAGCCACTGGATGAGCTTGGAAATAATATTGAAGCTTCTGTAGAGTGTAGCTCAGGCATGAGCAGGTGGTGTGAGAGTATCAGATGTCAGTCCCCAGGACTCTCTCCTTCCCTCCTCAGTAACAGCAAAGAGAACCCTTTTCTGTCAACTTTGGCATGCCAATAGCAACTATAACCTTGATAAAAACAACAATAACAACAACAATAACAACAACAGCAACAACACAAACGTCCACCTTTGATAATAATGTTAGCCACAGTTATTTTTCCACATTTTTATTGGTGTACTATAGTTGTATATGTGCTGGAATTTATTGTTACGTGTTCATACATGTGCACAGCATACCAATATAATTTGGTCAGTGTCATTCCCCAGTATTTCCCCTTCCATCCTGCTTCCTCCCTGGTCCCTTTCCTTTTCAGGACTGATCTCCCTTAAGATATTCATGAGATTCTCCCTCGGTCTTTCTTTGCCATTTTCCTTCTCTGGTTTTCACAAATGAGAGAAAACACTTGACACTTGACCTTCTGAGTTTTGCCAATTTCGCTGAATATATGGCCTCAGGTACCATCTATTTTCCTGAAAATGACAATTTCATTTTTCTTAATTACAGACTACAACTCCATTGCATACATTTACCACATTTTCTTTATCCATCCATTGATGGACACCTAGACAAATTTCATACTTCTCCTGTTTTGAGCTGTTATGCTATAAACCTGGTGTGCATGTATCACTGAAGGATAATGACTTTAAATCTTTAGGATAAATACCAAGGAGTGCTCTAGCTTGGTCATATGCTGGTTGTATTCCTAGTCTTTTGAGGAACCACCAAACTGATTTTAATAATGGTTATATTAATTTAAAGTCCCTCCAAGAGTGTGCATGTTTTTTCTTCTCTACATCCTCTTCAGAATTTACTATTGTTTGTATTCTTGATAAACTTCATTCTGACTACTTTGAGGGGAAATCTTAGTGTACTTTTGATTTGCATTTTCTTAATTAATTACCAATAATGTTGAAATTCTTTTAACATATTAATATATTTGTTGGTCATTTGTATTTCTTCTTTTGGGAAGTATCTGTTTTCTACATTGCACATTTCTTCACTGGGTTGTTTTGTGTTTTTAGTGTTAAGTTTTTTGAGTCCTTTATATATTCCAGATGTTAAATCTGTCAGAAGGGCTGGTGTTGTGGGTCAGCAGTAGAACACTTACCTTGCATCCATGGGGCACTGAGTTCAATCCTCAGAACCACATCAATCAATCAATCAATCAATCAGTCAATCAATCAAATAAAGGTATTATATTGATCTACAAATAAACATTTAAAAACTGTCAGAAGAATAGCTAGCAAAGATTTTCTCCCTAATGTGTAGGTTTGCTCTCTCTTCATGATAATAATTGTTTCTTTTGGTGGACAAAAACCTTTTAATTTAATGCTCTCCTGCATATTACCTTTTTGTGGTATTTCCAAGTTTTAGGGATCCTATTGAGAAAGTCCTCATCTGTGACTACATTCTGCAGTGTGACCCTACTCTGAGATTCTTGGATATTTTA